ATTGACACTCCTGAACCAAGTTGAAGTGTTGGTTCAGCGGTTCAGGGGCTATAAAGCTCCGCCTTGTCATTGACCTAGGCTTTGGGAGTTCGAACCTTGCTGAAGCCTATTTTTTTAAAGGCTTTCAGCGGTTTTTTTTTTAACTTATTAGACAACTTGTGTGCATACTACTTTATATTTTGACACTCCTCAATCTAAATCCTGGCTCCGCCACTGATCATGAGTTATAGCATGAAATTTATTCAATCATATTGCCATTGGCAATCTTATAGTTTGGTGGCATTACTATTCACTCATAAGTAATATACCATAGTGTAAACACATTGGAGTATTATTTTTGTGGTGATCACCTAGTATCTAGGCTAGCTTGTGCGCTTCAATTAATTTTACAAGCTATTTAGTATCTCCTTCATACAGAGTAGCTTTGACCAACAAAACTCGGATAAGTAGAAAAACATCACATAGTGTGTTTGCCTTCATCGGGAATAGCAATTTTGAAATGGAGCCAGAAGTACTTGACAGTTAAGTGTTTGGGATTTTAGTGCTTTTGAGTTACTAAGTTCTAGTTTAATAATTTATACATATTAAATGAATTTCTTATGACACAAATAAACGGTTTGAACTAAAACTATTAGGATTTGCCGAACTCACTTTCAACACTGAACGTCAGATGTCGTGACTTCTAAGTCACTTAACTTAAAAGACGGTGTGTAATGATCATCACATGATACAAACACAGTGATCAAAATACCAAAGCGATTCATTCATTTAAAACAACTTGCCCACATATATATACTACTAATTACCAAATTAAAAGACTACACAATCGTACGTGTTACTACTAATTATAAATACTCTCATATATGTAAGCGTAACATGTATAAAAAACTTGCTAGGGAATTGCAATTGGAGAATTGAGCTGCAAGGATTGTGACTGAATGACATCAGTCTGATCAGGCAAATTGAGTGGTGGCAAAGAGAAACGTCCATAAGTAGAGCTTCCTTTTCTTATTTCTTGCATAGTAAGCAGAGCTGCTACTGTGATTCTAAATATTCCTTCCCCTGCAACTCCTGATCCTAATACTAATCCTCTTTCTACATCACACGGAGGCGGAAACACTGAATCTATCGTACTTTCACACTCTTTTACAAGCTTTGATATCAAATCTGTTGTGAAGAATGGCTGCTGAAGCACCTTTTGTATATACGGCGAACGCAGTAATCCACCTGTTCGCTTGTCGTATTTCTTCAGTATCTTAGCCAATCCTGTAAAAATAAAAGATAACTACGTGTAACTGTCTGTTGTCTGTTGATAATAATTATAGTTAGGAGTAGAATTTAATTATATACCTGTGTAGTTAATGTTACTATAGTTGATTAAGAGCACCATTTCACCATGGAAATCAACAATGTCTTTTCTGATTTTTGCTAATTCTTCTTTGCAATCTGTCTCAGAGGGTTGGCTTCCATTTGGCCCCCATGTATCAATTACTCTCCCGATCCTCTGTTGCAACTCCTGCATATCAACAAACATTAATTATTTTATCAATCTCTCTGTTTCTAAAATTTTACCCAAAAATATACTATATATTAAAGCCCGTGCCAGTACCACCTAATACTATATGTCATATACTACTTATTTTGTCTCAATTTATATGATACAAATAAAATTCAGAGAGTCAATCAAATCGTTCATATGTTTTTTGAAGTTGTTTATTATTGTGAATTATAGTACTTTTTATTTAATTTTTAAATATATAATAAAATATTTTAAATTGCTAATTATTGTGATTCATAATACTTTTACTTAATTTTTAAATATATATAACCGAATATTCTAAGTTATAATTATTGTGATTTAAGTATTTTTTAAATGTAATTTTCAAATATATAATATTCTAAAAAAAAAAAAGTAAAACAAATAAATTAAAATGAAGATAACAATCGATGGATCCCAACATTTCAAGAAAAGCACAATTCAAGTACATATTGTTGTGGCATCTTTGAGCTTATTCCGTAAAGATACTTTGTCCTCTCGTGTATGTGACAAGCCTTCTAGAAATAAATGTACTAAGTGGCATGTCACTACTTTTGGACTATGTACTAGGTTGCTTCATCAATTTGCTTTTATGTGCCTTGATCGGGTCGATTGAGCTAATTTTGAACGAATTATAATGAATTGAGTTAATAATCAAATAAGTCATTAACACGTTCAAAAATTAGTTGGTTTGATATGAATTTGGTCAAAAGGGCTAAATAATAAATCATTGCTCAACTCGCCAATTCTCATAAATTTGAAATCTATACAACTTTAGCTAAAGATATTAAGTCAAAGAAAAAGATCCATATAAGTACTCATTGGAAATAGGTTTTAGAGAAATTCGATATTACTACTACTATTTATTTATGTATATTATAAAACTTATTTTTCACTTTTATTTTATTTAGTATAATAACATGAGTTAAAATTAAATAAAATATTAATAATTCATATAGTCAATCACAATTTATTTAAAATTAAGGTGTAATTATTATTGTATTGGACTTTTAATTCCAAATTGTACTAATCTAATTTGAAAAAAAATCTCTTTAACTCTACGAGCTATATAATAAGATTTGCGTATACTCTATTCTTTAAGATTCCATTTTACTGGATATGTTATTATTGTTGTGACTAACTCAAACTACTTAATTCACCTCATTACAATTAATCACAAAACAAAAAAAGATTAGAGTTGGAGTTATAATTGGTGATCCATACCTTGTGTCTTATAATGAAATCCTCTTCTTGTTCCATGAAAAATGCATTGAATTTATCAATCTCATTGTTCAACAAATACACAAATTCAGCCTCTGCCTTACCATACTCCAATGATCCACTCATCATTTGTGGTGCATATGAAGAAATCAATTTCACCAATTTCTTCAACTCTTTATATGACAAAAACTTATCACCCCACCCTGGTAATGTTTCTTGAATTTGTTGCTTCAATCTTTTCCCAAATTTCATTCTCTTATATTAAAAAATAAAAGAAGTTCAAATTGCTACAAAATGAGAAAATAAATATGTTGAGGGAGAAGAGGAGTATATATTATAGTGTGTGATAAGTGAAAAAAAGGCAAGAAAATGGGGTTGATTTTTAACAAGTAAAAAGAATATTTAGAAGCATATGCTTGGCGTGTTGAATGACAGTTTTTTTTTTATAAAAAAAATTAATTAAATGAAAGTGAAATTAAAAGGGGTAGCTGAAGTAAGAGAATTCTAAGCATATTCGTAAATGACTTTTTTTTATTTTCAACACTAATTAATGTGAGTGTCATTTCTCACATGGTAGTGATATTAGAAAAACAAATCATAGCCGTTGAATAGTTAAGTGGACTAACGTGGCAAAGATCAAATCATGGCTGTGAGTCTGTGATTGTTAGATTAGCATTAGGATTATGTAATTGGGAATTGGAGAAGTGGATGATCCTTTGGAATCTACCATAAGGAAAGAGAAAACCAAAATTGGGGATTTGAGAATATGTTTTTTCTTGTTTTTTAAAAAATAAATAGGAAATGCTCTCTCTAACGTAGTTTAAAAATGTACTCTTTCCGTCCATCTTTACTTGTTTACTATAGTAAAAAAAGTTTTCCAATAATATTTATCCAGTTTAAAAAATCAAGAGATAATTGATTTTTTATGTCTATTTTATCTTTGACATTAAATACTATTCAATATCTACATTTTTCAATTTATTAAATTTAATATATTCAAAGGGTAATATAGTCATATTATCATATTATTTATTATTTCTTATTCACTATACCAAGTTTATTGTAGACAATTATTATTAGACGGAGAGAGTAACTTGTGGAGTCTACTTCTATATTCAAACATTTGGGGTTATAATTTGATCGGAGTGACTTTTTCTTGCCTTAAAGTTTAAAGGATTTCAAGAATTGAACAGTTTAAAACAAAGACTAGTCTCCAATCCTCTAGTAGTAGTAGTAGACATGTAGTTATATCAATATGTACTATTACTAGGATGGATGAGATTCCATCCCGTATATCTGGAGGTTTTGTGTTTAATTATGAAAAATGAGAACATATCTCGTAAAGAGTATTTTTTTCTTAAATTAATTTATAAGATGTGAATCTGAATTAATTGAACTAATGAATTTCAAATATGAAATGGTTATAAAATAAAATAAGAAGTTAGACTAATAGTTATACTCTTTCTGTTTTTAATTACTTGTCCATTTTTAAATTGAAATAGTGAATTTACTATTTTACCCCTATTAATTATGAAGTGGATTATTTAAAAATTTAAGATTTTCAAGAAGTTATATTTGTTTCATAGTAATTAATTGAGAATATAATAAGTAAAAAAATTGTCATTTCTTGATTAATTAAAATAGACGAGTAAAAAGGAACAAATAAAAAAGAAATATTGGACAAGGAACAAAATACTAATTTATCCACCCACATGGGAAAATATTGAAAACCAAAATCAGATAATTAGGTTGGCGTGTGTCCTTAACTAATTATATTGAAGGTTTGGAGTGATGACTTCTTCTCTTTCTCAAGATTTGGTTTTATTCGTATATTTGAATTTTTTTTGTTAATATGCATTTCACAATCATTTGTTTTTTAAAAAAAAAATAAGAAAGTCAAGATATTTGATCAAATTTATGAAGAAAGTGATATTAAACAATAGCAAAAGTGAAAAAGGTAATTACTCTTAACATAAGTTATGTTTTTAATTGTTCAAGAAAAAATTATCATTATAAATAATTTTCATCTAAAATTAATTTTTGCATGTTATTTAAAGTCTCTCCTAATAACCATTTCAAATAACTTATCTATTTAATTAAATACTAAACAATAATGGAAATCTTTTAAAATGCTCTTTTTCATGATTTTACACTCAAATTTATCTTTGAAAATATTGTCCCAAAAAATTGCCATATCCATTTCAAATATGCTTTTATTGAAAAAATATTGTCCCAGAACATCTTCGCATGGCGCATCTTTTAGCAGCGGTAAGCTTGCCGCCGGTGACATTTCGGCCGGCCGGAGGGCACTATCTGCGATTAACTACAAAAACTCAGGCAATAAGAGCAGTATCGCTTGAGGAAATTCCCCCAAATGCGGTTCGACGGAAGCTCGATTCAACATGGAGAGGAGGTTTCAGTCTTGGGGTAGATTTGGGTCTTGCCCGTACTGGACTTGCCCTAAGTAAAGGATTCAATTTTCGACCCTTAACGGTAACCCAATTTCATCCGCAAAGCTCTCATACACACCCACATTCATATACTGGAACTTTGATTTGGTGGATTTTAGGTTTTGGAGTTGAGAGGACAGAAGCTTGAACTTCGAATTATTGATATTGCCCAAAAACAGGTATACATCTTCTTCATGTTTGATGTAGAAAGATTTAATTTTTATGGTAATTTATAAGCTGGTTATTGATGTGATTCTTCTTGAATATGATTTAGTTACTCTTTTCATTTTATTTTTGTTAAGAATTAAATTGATAGTCCACTATCTGGAGTTTCATGAGTATGGTTTTGTTGGGAGGTTAGGAAGTGGATGAGTTTATAATTGGACTCCCTTTGTCAAGTGATGGAAAGGAAACTCCACAATCTAACAAAGTTCGGAGTGTTGCTGGTAGGCTTGCTGTTCGAGCTGCTGAGAGGTAGTAATCATTTAGCAGTTTTTGTCTGTTATGGTTTTCTTTGTGAAATCAGGCTAAGAAATGAAAAAAAGAGATAAAATTGCAGGCTAAATAGATAATAATATCTCTTTTCTGTTGGTTGATCTGAATTGGCAATGTGGGCCAATTTCAACATGCTGGTTTTAGAGTGCTCAAGTTGGTTGTGTGAAGTATGCTGTGATGTTGCATTCTATACCTGAGTAGCTTCAAGTGCTAGTGACATTGCATATTTGTCAAACTTGATGATGGTCGCTCTCTCATAAATAATAGAGGATAGATGTTCGACTCATCTAATGAAGATATTGTTAGATGAGATAGTTTAAGTCATTAAAACTGCAAGAAGGTATCATGCAACATGAAGCACTCACTTGAACAAGAAATCTTGTCCTGCCTTGAAGCTTAGTACATGTCTCTAAGCCTAATGACAAACGGACAGATCAAATATTTGGAAGTCTATTGGTTGAACTATCTAGAACATGCTTGCTTGCTATGCTTTACTAACCAAAACTGATCTGATTATTACACACTGGGGCTACTAGTTGACTTCCTATTTTCAGAAACCTTTGAGCTAGTATGCTTTGGTTTTACATTCTTTTTATAAGTTGGTTTTACAAATTATTGACACTAAGTTCATCTTGTAGTTCACTAGTCATTCTCTCGTGACATGTTTAAATTCATTTTCTAAAGTGGTGAGGGACCTTCTGCCATAATTTGTCATCTTAAATGTCAATTTTGTCCTTTTAGGGGATGGAGAGTATATCTGCAGGAAGAGTACGGGACAACAATTGACGCAATGAGCTACATGGTTGATAGGTAATAAGTTCTTTCGACTTATTCCTTTATTTATTGAATCAGTTGCGGGGAAGCTCTTTCATTCCATCAACGGCCAATTCTTTCTCTTACGTGAGGAAGTATCTAGGATCTGCAAGGAGGAATCATGATCTCATTTGGACATCGATGAAGTTTGTCTACCTCTCTTGCTAATAAATTGATTGTCAAATGTATATGAGAAGGGAGGGTATCCTTTGAACAGTCTGTTACAACTTGCAAGAAATTATTCTGAAGTGGCAGAAACATCTATTAGTAGTAGACCTTCACTTTTTTTCCCATTATAAGCAAGAAAAATTATCTAGTTAGGAGCTAGAATGAAGATCATTAGACTACAGTCCTAATCCTAGTAGATGGAAAAAAACTACTCCCTCCGTTTCACAAAGAATGACCTAGTTTGACTTGGCACGAAGTTTAAGAAAATAAGAAGACTTTTGAATTTTGTGGTCCTAAACTAAAGCTATGTCAAATGTACAAAATTGCCCTTTAATTTTGTGGCCTTAAACATGCCACATGGAAAACTGAAATTAAAATGATACCAAAAAAAGAAAGAGGTTATTCTTTTTGAAACAGACTAAAAAAGAAAGGAAAGAAAGGAGGTCATTCTTTTTGAAACGGAGGGAGTATGAGATTTTTTCTCATATGTGCTGGTGAGAGGATGCAAGTAATCAATGGAACTATGATAGCATGCTAGTCCCACGGGGTTGGTCAGTTATACAGAATGAACTTTGATCCGTTGATCATTAAATCTAACTTACCTCAGATAATATATTGCCAATGTGAGCAAATTCAGAAACATTAGCAATTAGCGTGTGTCGTATATTTGTTCTAATATTGTAATTAAAGTGTCTTGATGAAAATTGGCATAAATAGGTTGTTAGATAAGGTTCATGATGGGGTATATTAGACGAAGATAAATTTATTTTGATATCAGAATATTATAAAAATAAAATTCTAAATGAACCGAACAACTATTTTTAGGGGCCTCGGAAAATCTGCTCGTGAAGGGAAACAGGACGCCTACGCTGCTGCTGTATGTATTCAGTTCAATTCATTGTCTTTTTTCTACTTCTCCTGTATATTTTTTTCAGAGAGACTGAAAATAGTAACTTTTGATTAAGAACTGAGCTTTATTGTATAATGACAGATGGTGCTTGAGAGGTACTTTTTAGAGTCAGGTCGGAGAATCGAGCTAGTGTTACCCAAGCAGTTGGATCTCCAAGAGAGGTTAAAGAAGGGGTGTTCTAAGGATGCTGATTATTCTACAGATGAATCTGATTAGTTGAATAATTTGCAATGCTTTCAGGAACCCCTCCCAAAACTTCCTAGTTGTAGGAAAGAAGGTTGAATAGATCAATACAGTTATTGTGATAGCTCTAGCCACTTGAAAAGTACTTGTACCTTTAGAGGACATGGATGGTTTACCCTATTATATGTTTTTAAAGTATCATGCTCCTGTATAGCAAGTTAGATAGGAAAAGCACTCATGTATCTTGTTCGAGGAAAAGGTATAGGGATGGTCATGAATGTGATAGACACTGTATGCAATGAACTGATGAAATAACCTGCTTGTTGGGCTTGCTGATTCCTCAAATTTGCTACTGCTGTTACATATTTGCAAAATACGTGCATAGGAAGGGGGTAAGCTATGTTGTTCGGACTCTTATAGAATACAACTAGGTGTGTGTCGGATCCTCCAAAAGCTATGCATATTTGGAGGATCCGAGCAACATAAGTTGTAAATATAAAGACATGAGTTGTGCTCAAACAATAAGATAAAACAGTTTCATTATAAGAGTCTCTTTGGGGTGTTAACATTGTCGTCGTAGCTATTGGAAAACAAATCCCTGCATAGCTCTCCATAGAACCTGCTCACCAGTTCAATGAAGACAGGGCTTTTGAGATTCTTCCAACAGTATAACAATTCTTCCACATCTGCCAAATCCCTCATTTTCCCCTCTTCCACAATCATCTCCACCAGATAATTCTCAAAGCTCCTGCATGCATCTTCCACATCATCCAGAACTGGCACTTCTTTTCTAGTTGCTGTACTCAATCTCACGTAAGCCGGGGTGAGGGGTGATGGAAATGGTGCTTTGTTGTGAAGTTCCACTTCTGAGAAACTCTTGAGCTCCATGACTTGGTCCTCCTCTCTCCCTCTTCTTCTTAGCCGTTCAGTCTTATGTACTTTACGGCGAAACCTAAGTCTTCTTATAAAGAGGGGCTTTCTGAGTCTGAAATTGAATGACCTTACTATTTTCTTGCATGGATTGAAAAGCTTGCATTTGAAGCGACCAAACACTTTCACTTTCATTGTTGGAACCTTTATTTTTTGAGGAAAAGAGTACTGATAAAGCAACAAACTTGGGAAATGATTGTTTTCACGTTTATCTTTCTTTCAATTTGGAAATGACAGGAGAGTTGTTGATGTTCTGAGACAAAATGTTAGTTTGTTGAAAGGTTGGTGTGTGTGGGTGAAGTATGGTGGAAGGGGTACCCCTTTTTCTAAGGTTGGGAAAATGATGAGTTGTGGACAACACGTTTCATATTGAACTAAAGGTGGTATGCATGAAAGAAATGTCTTCAAAACTTTGGAGTTGATAAAATTCCTGTAGAGATTAATAAATCAACATAATGTGCCTATTCGATTCCTGGAAAAACCAGAATTTTAATTATAATTCTTGATCCGTGTTGTTGAATCATTCAAAAAGAATGGGTAAATAAATGATAAGAAATCAACTAGGAAATTAAGTTCAAGGTGAGAAGAAATGTACATCATGAGTGTGCACAAATATAAGATGAACATTGCGTACCCAGAAAGAGTTAAAATATCTAATTGTTATTTCATACGATTTATTTGGACGAGGGCTGGTAATTTAATAGTCACCAGGCTATTATTACACCATTTATCAACGAAGAGAATACACAACAAAATACAACAATGACGACTACGCCTCTATGTCAAACTAGTTGAGAACGATTACATAGATCTTCTACGTTGACTCCATTCTAGTTGGACGCATTTCAGTCCAAATATAATACCAAGAGTTCACCTTTAAGCATAAAGAGCACCAGCTCAGCTTCATTTTTATCACCATAAAAGGACAACGGTATGCCTAAGCAAAAGTTAATGAGAATTTATACAGAACTCCTCCTCTTCTTTTTTCTCTCTTTCTTCCTTTTCTAGACTAAAATTTGGCCTGGATCCTCTAGCACAAATGAAGAATCTTCTTATTGCAACTGCATCGCCAGAGTGAAATCACTTCAGAACATTATTAGTTGGGATCCTCCCAACTGAAATAATATGAAACAAAAACAAGAAGGTAAAATTTAGGAAATAGACTCTTAGGGGAGGGGCCTCTGGAGGAGAGAGGAAGGGAAACGTAAACAAAGACAAGTGGAAAAGAATAAACCAGTAAAAGAGAGGATCCTCTACCCTTGGAGCCAGCAGAAAATGCCCAGTTCCCACCCATAAATTAGAAGTCCAAGATGCATTGCCAGCAGAAAGATAGCATAACTTCAATCACTCAGCCCCCTCCTGACGTAAGGTATCTTCAATCCGAGGATGCTCAACCTATCAGAAGCAGCTAAAAGGTTGCTTTCCCTATTGACTGAGAGCCTGCTCAAAGCATTCGATGAGCTTAGCTATAATACATGACTCCTAATAATTGATTATGCAGTGTCAAGATTATCATTTGCTTAAGCCTAGGTGGGTAGAATTATCCAGTACCTGCGCTGGTGGAGGATAGCATATACTTGGTGAAGTATTGGAGGCCCAGTCACCACTGTTATCAAAGAGAGCGCGGACACCACCATTTCTTCACATGGTATCAGAGTCTTCGTTTACCTGATCTTGGCTCCCATGTTATATTGTCCACGCTCTAAATGTCCAATCTTGGGTGTATAGGGGGTGTTAGAGTCTCACATCGGTGTGGGTTGGGGTTGTGTGCCTCATTAACAATCCTCACCTCATGAGCTAGCTTTTGGAATTGAAATAGGCCCAAGGTTCAAATCTTAACATGGAGGTTGGAGATATGGTATAATGCCTCAGAATGTCCATTCAATTCTAGCCAGCACCTGAATAATGCATGAGAATAGAAACTTCTCAGAACCCAAGGACTCTCGATGAGCAAGTAGAGTGCTATTTCACTTCAAATCTTATGAGCCACGATTCATCAACTTAAGAAAAAACAAAAAAAATGTTAGAAAAGAACATAGAAATAACACTTATTAGACTTTTCAAAAATCTCTTTTCAAGTAGCAAATTGCCTCATTAGATCTAGTAGTGCACAATTCAATACCACAATGATGATATGTACAAATTCATTTTAACAAGGGCATCAAAAGTTCTTTAAATACAAAATTCTAGTTTGGTGAAAATTAAAATTGTAAACGAGTGGAGAGTTCTCTAACTTTGGAATAACTTTCAAGCCGAACCAGGTAGCATAAACTGTCTCCAACATGTCAATGTGGTCATAATACATTGACATGGTCAAGTTCAGACAATGTTTGATTCTATTGAATGGAGGAGCTCTTTAACTGTTCCTTGATTTTGACATCCAGTGGAAGCTGGTCCCAATTTTTAAAGGCAAAATCCCAACCTATATTCATAACACCAAACAATTTAATTGCAATTTGCTAGAAGTTCGCAACATAAATTTGAAAACCAAATCTACAAAAGCAAAAACTTAATATCAAGCAACTGTAGGGCAAAAGAAGATCTTACCCAATCACGGCAGAATGAGCGGCTGTAGAATTTAGTCCAACTCTAGTAGAGGCAGTTGCAAGTTGAGATTGATCATTAAGTCTTTAATAGTGATAACAATAAGCTGATACCAAATAGAAGGACACAAATGATTGAGACAAACCTTCGAGTCTTTGATAGTTATAGAAGCTAACAAGAAACTAATGGCAAATAGAAGGAAAGAAAAGATTAAATCATTAAATGCAGATACTTTAGAGTTTGAAGAGTACAACATCAAACAAAAAATACCATGTAATATTCAGATTACTCAACTTATGAAGACCCAAACTTCAATATTTAGCATAATGTCTTTCCTTCTCACTGGTTTCATGGAGATGCTTTTAAGAAAAGGTAAAATTCACCCGTATACAGGAAGAAACACAACTCTTTGATACCTTCGTGGAGATACTTACAGCCTATTTGGATTGGCTTAAAAGTTGGGCAAACCTACTTTTAAGTCATTTTTAGCTTTTGGGAATGTATGACAAAGTTAAAAATAGCATTAAAAAAAGTCATAAATGACTTGAAAAAAGTTAAAAACCAAAAGTAGGACTCCCCCTACTTTTTATTTTTTGACTTAAAAGTCATTTAAAGTTTGACTTATTTTTTGGACTCAAAAGCTACTTTTTTCAGCCTATCCAAACAGGCTCTCACACTATCTTTATGAACATTATTTCTAGTTTCTAGAAGCTCTTTTTATACAATCAAGTCATTATAAGTTTAAAACTTTATTCTTATGCAACCAATCATTTCAATCTAAGAGGATGGAAAAAGACACAAGAAAATACTAATGGCATCTTGAAAACTATACACGTATTTATGGTTGATCTGAAGATAATGTATGAGCTTAACATACCTTCAAGATGTAAAATTTCTGATATTAAGATACCTCAGAAGCCTCAATGCTTGGAACAATTCTTGGGAGCAGCTTAACTTGAGGTACTGAATTAGATTCATCGTTGCATGGAAGAGAAGGTATCTCATTTTCCAAAATAGAATAAGCATCCGCAAATGCCTACAGAAAGTAACTTTTATTAGAATAGTTATATGCAGCCAATATTCAATGATCATAATTTTTAGTGCGTATTCTAATCCATTCAGTAGCAACTTCAGTCCCAAAATAATAGTGACTTAGGAACACCAACTTTAACCATATGTCAAACAGATGCACCCAAAGAGAATACCAAGAGTTTGTTACTTCAGGCTATATTAATTAAATGAAAAAGTAGACAGTCGCTTTGAGTCATCAAAAAGCAGACAGTCGCTTTTAAAGGACAGAGTATTTTTAGCTGACTTTTACATATTTGAGGTGTTAAAGAATGACAGAAGTCCCACATTGGTGGTTAATGAGATGGGTGGACTCCTTATAAGGCTTGGGCAATCCTCCTTCCTTTGAGCTAGCTTTTGGGGTGTGAGTTAGGCCTAAGAACTAATTTAACACGAGGGCATAAGAGGAATTAATGCTTTACACTTTTAACTGACATATGCTACCTTTTCAATAAAAATAGATCCCATGTAGTGATGGCAAATGGGCGGGTTGGGTCAAATTTGGGCAGGTTGAAAATGGGTCAACATAAAATGGGTAATAATTCAACCTGCCCATATTTGATATGCATAAAATTGATTGGGTAACAAATGGATTGGGTAAAATACTAGTTTACCCATATTTACCCATATTTTCATGAGTAAATAGTACTCTACTTTAGAATTCAACATGGAGAAAATATTTTAGTTTTTTTTAGATGAAAAATGTTGAAAATGCTTCATTTAGTTTTATTGTATCATAAAAGTAAAAAAAAAAATCCTAACTTTTCAATATAAAATAAATTTATGTAATAACGAAGGGAAAATATTTTTAATTTCAAAGTAAAGGAATAGTTGCATTTTAGGACTAAAACATGCTTAATGCACTTTAAGCTTAAGCAATGTTAATACTAATACATGATTTGCTTATTTTACACTATTATTTATTATCCAATATAAAATTAAACAAATAAAAAAATATAATTATAATTAACAAAAGAAGTGTACATTTAAAATATATATTTTTGTAGGGCCAAAGACTACACATTTTCAATTATAGAGAAAACTAATTAGTTCTATAGAAGAACATAAAAAGGAAGAGAAGTTACAATTTTTTTTAGTGATATCATGAATTTTGAGTGAATAAAAGTTAGAAGCTTAACCCATTTGGTTAATCCATATTTTACCCATATTTTACCCATGTAAAAAGTCACTCACCCAACCCATTAAAATATGGGCAGGTTACCAAAATATGGGCTCATTTTGCCAGCACTAATCCCATGCCATTTGAGAGATGTAACAAGAGATTTCTGATTCAAGCTTTTACATATGCAAATTACGCTCGAAGTAGAGGAAGTACTGTGTCGAGATTGAAACTTAACAAATTAGTAGAATAGTGAAGTAAGCAAACTGATAGAGGGCACCACCAAGAGTGGAGCCCAACGCTTAATTCACTTGCATCAACTGTATTAATATAAGAAAATTACCCAATGAAAAATCGAAAGCTCCTTTAATCTACGGGTGATTGAGGGATATGTCTGGTTAATTCATTAAACCAACACGGGACCACTGCTAGCCAGCCTAGAAGGAATTCCTTGTTGCCAACCTCTTCGGAGATTCAAATACATTTTATCCTATTGATTTTTAAAAGCTAAGAAACCTGAAGTATCACAAGTTCTCCATTTTC